ATGAGCTTACTGAGTCACTGTCCCCATTACCATCAACTTCTACCCACTGTGAAAACAAAAAATGCATGTATAATTAACAAAAACATAAAAAAACAAGCATTAAAAAATACAAGTCAGTAGGTTAAGTTATCAAACTAGTTTAGATGCACAGCCTACATTTCAAGTTTCTCATATTCTATTATTACTTATGGCAAGAAATGTATACACTATGTTACTTTTTTTTTCATTGATAAAGTTTACAAAATGTACTTATAAAGCTATATGTTCTGTCACGTAGGTGCCATGAAATCTTTTTTCTTTTGCAATTAATACTTGCACCTGAGTAAATCCAAATGTGGTTTATCAAACATCTCAAGACAGATGGAGAACTAAAATTCACAAAACATGCTAGTTAGCTAAACCTAATATTAGTGGTGTTATAGAGAATGGTTATTTATATAATTGTAACTTCTATTAAGCTGTTCCACCCATCCTTGAATTTCTCTGCATGTTGGTGGAAAATGGGTGGTGTAGAGAACTTAACTTTAAATCTCCACAACCAATTTTTTTTGCTACACCAGGTTCAAGGACAAATTAGCTTTTATATGAAAACAGACACTATGGACATGAAAGTGGACAATATGATTAAACAAAGCATTAAACACAAGGCATATTTTGAAAAAAGAAAAAAATCATACCTTTATTATCATGTTGGGATTTTTTTTAAATCTCACAGAAATTATTGTAACACAACTTACTCAAAATATTTTATTAAAAATAAAAATATTATTATTTAAATCTGGCTTGTTATATTGGTTCTCATCATAACTAAGTATGTTCACATAAAATACTTTTTACACTGGCCATTACCTTTGGCCTTAACAACTATATAAAATCATTTATGTTTCAAGTTCATAATACTTCAACTTTGCTTTACAATTAGCCATAAAAGTACTTAAGGGCATGAGTTTTCTAATCTCACAGACTTCAATGGTGGTGAACAAGTGGAACTTCTTATACTTTCCTCCATTTATAAAAGTTATTGTTTGTTTTTCTCACAAAACTCACCCATAAAAGCTGCCCAATTTTTATTCTTTACCCAAGAATCACTTCTGACAGAAGACCACATCATTCAAAATATGAAAAAGTACCCCAAAATAAAGCTTATTCATTTCTCTCCTTGGTTAAAAGGTGTTTTATAATATAAATAATCTTTGATCAGTTAATGTACGTTTAATTTTTTTTATGAAAAAAAAATCACTGTAATGATTAAGACTGCCTTCATCCCGCAATTATACAAGTATGTAATATTTTAACAAAATTCCTGCGAGTGCTAATTCTTTTCACACACAATTCGAACATTCAAAATAACTTATCATATTATTTATCACAGATAATCTCCTGAATTATACATCACTCTGTATTCCAACAGATAAAAACATTGCATTAACATACATATTTAAACTAATGTTTCCATTTATCCAATGGAACAAAAATACCTTGGTTATTTTTTTAGGATCACTAGTGCCTGATTCCAGAATTTCAACCTTCTGATATACATTTGGGGAGTTGATCCAACGCAGTTGATCTTGTGATTTCCTTCCATCCAGCAACTTCTTTAATGGACTGTAAAAAGAGACATGAAATATTTGTATGTGTGTGTGTGCATACATTTAAAAAAATCTCACAACATCACAAGATCAGTCACATACTTTATCATAATTTGGCTTGTTGTTGTCAAGCACTAAGTTACACAATGGGCTATCTGCACCCTGCCCACCATGGGTACTGAAACCTGATGTTTATCACTGTAAGCCTGTAGACTTACTGCTCAGCCACTTGAGGGGGAGGGAGAGTAATGATGCCATCACCACCTCATATTCCAAAGTGGACACCCTCCCATGTATTAACTAGACCTGACATTTGGTGTCTTTAGGGATTGGACAAGACCAAACTTCATCAAGAACTAGATTACACACAAAATGTAAGAAGTCAGATGGTATAAACTGTAATTTTTCATCATTCAAAATTCTTTCCAACTAGCTTTCTTCAAGGAACTTTTGTAACACTAATGTCAAATAAAGTATTTACTGATTCTTAAACTTAATCTCTGATCTTTAAGCATGTACGGTATCAGTCACAAAATAATCCATCTACCTTAACCATTTATCTTCTTCAAAGAACTGAGTTATTGATGAAGCTGCTGGTGGGATCTCGACATCATTTTTGACTCGTGGAGCTTCAGACCTTAGCATTGGATGCCGGTAACCGTAGCCACTTCTGAAACCCTAAAAGAAAATTTCTCTCTTTAAATTCTTTCATCTAAATTCTTAATAGAGAGACAATGAATGGATTCATTATCTAATGTGATTAAAAGTACATTTTAATGCAAATTAAAAGAAAGAAATAAAACAAAAATGTCACTTGAAAAAGATCCAGTGCAATTAAAAACATTTTTCTAAAAGAATTTTGAACACAGTTATATAAAACTATACTACTAAAACTTTGTTAAAAATAACTTTTAAAAATGACAACAGCAAATAACAGATGACTAATAACTACCACATACTTACACATTTTTTTCACGTGTTCTTAAACATCAACACAAACTGTACTGTTCCCCCCCCCATCAGTTACTTTAGTAAAGTTTACACAACCAAACTGGACCTTTTTTTTTCACTGACTAGAAACTAACAATAATGAAACAAATAAATTGCAAGTGTAGCCACCAAAAACTGCCACTGCCCTGCAAGTGTAGCCACCAAAAACTGCCACTGCCTACCATAACCTTTGTATCATTCTAATGAGCCTCTGCATAATGATTTATGGCCAATGGTTTAATTCCTCTGTAAAGGTGTTTTCTAGCTCATGAAGAATCATAGGTTAGATAGGGTAAGCTGAAAGGGTGTGCTAGAGTTCCAAACATGCTTAGTTAGGTTCATGTACAGAGGTTGGGCAGGAACTCCTCTATGACTTGAGTGCTAAATGGGCAGGTATTGTCTTTCATAAGGATAAGTCACCACCAATAGTGCCAGGGTATAACTTCAAGTAATGGACCAGAAATCCCTGTACCTCAGAGCTGTCAAATAGCCATCTTGGATCATATGAAGGTCAGTCATGTAACACCATACCATGACAGACCCACCACCAAAGCAGTTGAGTTTAGCTATGCTGGAGTTGTGATATAGAAACTCCCTAATTTGTCTTAGCTCTCTGATATGCCAGCTAGTGAAGTCAAGACAAAAGCTGGGCTCATTCATGATAAGTACTAGAGGTTTATATTATCTAAGCCAGGTGATCTTAACCCCAATTTCTAGCAATCATTGGAAAGAGAGCTTCAGCTCGCACCTAAGGCAATGACGTGCTAGAGCCACAACGATTCTTTCAGATTTAAGTACATTCTGACATGTGCTTGAGTAAATTGTGTTAGAACACCATCTCAAAGCAATGCACACACAAACTCTTAACCCCAATTTTTAGCAATCATTGGAAAGAGAGCTTCAGCTCGCACCTAAGGCAATGACATGCTAAAGCCACAACGATTCTTTCAGATTTAAGTACATTCTGACATGTGCTTGAGTAAAATGTGTTAGAACACCATCTCAAAGCAATGCACACACAAACTCTTAACCCCAATTTCTAGCAATCATTGGAAAGAGAGCTTCAGCTCGCACCTAAGGCAATGACATGCTAAAGCCACAACGATTCTTTCAGATTTAAGTACATTCTGACATGTGCTTGAGCAAAATGTGTTAGAACACCATCTCAAAGCAATGCACACACAAACTAAGTAGTACATAGAGTTCTATTCATTTCTTTATTGAAGGAGTCTGTAATTCACACAAGTGATAATAATTTACAATTAATCAGAAGTGAAAACAATCCACTGTTCACTTGAAATTAAAACCTACTGCTTCCCATACGCTCATAGATTAGAAACAAAATCAACACTGAGTATTTGTTAATACAAATCTTGAATAGTGTATAAATGGAGCTTATTAGATAAAACATAATCAGGCAGGTGTAGCACTACCTATGTAGGGATGGCTTGGATCGTTCATTGAAATGGTATTTTAAACATCTCTTCAATAGGTCATCAGAACTTTACAATACTATATAATGTTTCCTTTTATAACAATATCTATGTAATGACTGAGTCACAAGTTCTGAAAATGTCTGTAAATATCATAGCAAAAAATCTGAATTTCTTGTTCTTCTGATAACATGATAACTCAAAACCCAAAACAATGGTGTGAACCAATTTAACTGAGGTGACATAGTTTCAAATGGAGTATCCGTTTTTATAAGTATTATTAATCACTAGTAGTAATTATGAAATAATAATTCTAGTGTAAACGAGGTTATCATTACCCCTTGAAGTTAGCTTTTTTACAGAAATTGCTTTAAAAAAGCTTAAGTACAGGGTGAAATAGAAATTACCAGCCAGTAATAGATAAACAATAAATATTACAGTTGGAACCTCTTTGTATTTAGAACTCAGTTATAAGTACAATTTTCCTATGTCTATTGAAACACTGAATTAAGAAAACAAGCAAACAAGTAAAGAAAAAACTTTTCAAAAAAGAAATGAAATGTAGGGATGATTAATATCAATCTTTCAAAAACAATGCAACCAAGATAGTAGAGATGGCAAGTGCATCACCCCTACCATAACAGCACAGTCACAAATTAATATGTGTGTGTGTGTGTGTGTGTGTGTGTGTAACTATTAAATGACAATTGAGTTTAATTTATCCTATTTTTTGTCTGTTAACACACTACTACACTGTGTGTCTGTGCTATTATGTAAGGATGATGCAAATGCCATCCCTACAATCTTGTTTGCACTCTTTTTGAAGGATTGATATTAGCCATCCCTACATTTATGTCCTTTTTGAAAAGTTTTTTTTTTATTTGTATAAATTAAAATTAAGGAAAAACAGCAAACACAGAGAAAAAGTATTTAAAAATTTGCTTGTTGGGTTAAGATTACTTCTTCTAAAACAAGTTGATAATACCAAAACTCCATCAAAATCCACGAGAATAAACCTTCTTTCCAGTTAATATTTCCATTTATAAAAGTAGGATATTGATGCTGGGAAGAGAAAGAATAATTTCTACAACTTAAAAATACAAAACACATACAGCGTTATCTAGCATCCTCATTTGTGCTTCAAACTCTAAATCCAACACTCTGGCTTTTCTTGGCTTCTCCTTAGGCTCAGCTCTCTCCTTGTCTTCATCACCATTCAAAGTATCATCTGGTTTACCTTGAACTTGTTGGCCTCCAGATCTGACCACATCCCGGACTTTCTGTTGGGCTTCTTCGGACATAACTTGAATGTTCTCTATGCCTAGAGGCATGAGACGAACCTATAAAAATGGGC